ATACAGGATACATGGAGTACCACAAACAAAAGTCCTGCTCCACTCATACCTGGAAGATACCCTCACGAAAACCTAACAGCTGAGTAAAAATGTGAATAGTGGTAAATCCTTTAAATTCAAAATCCTGTCAAACCAAGGATTACAGTAGACCCAAAATGAGTATAAAATATTTAAAATATCCCACTAGACCTTCTGGACTTTCATGTGATGATAGTTTGAGTCTCTTGGACCCACTCGTTTTTAAAATGTGGCTGAGTCAACTGAATTTCCGGGGGGTGGGGGCAGGGTGTTGTAAACTTCAGTTTATTTGTCCTACAAAACTAAATCATTATCTTAAAAAACGTGTCCAAGCCTTCTAAGGGTTTGGGATACATTCACAGGTGAACTGCTGGTTACGAGTCAACGACTAGGAATCTTATTTAAAGAACTACGGGTATAACCCTGAATTCATTATACGCTTACAAATCTACACTGAGAAGATGAAAACTTCATCAAACTGAATTACTGGGCCTGCTTCCTTACCAAAAACATTACAGTTCATTGAGACTTAAACGTGTCATTACTTGGTTGAACACATTAGCTGCTGCATGTTTTACGAGTTTAGCTTCTGTAAACAGCCGTGGACCAAGGAGAAGCGATGTCCCCCAAATGAGAAAAGGCCACCGCGCCTTTTCTTCTGGCTGCTCACCCTGGGTGAGGGCAGATGAGTCCGTCCACTGAGCTTCGTGGGAAGGTGTGGGTCAGTGCCTCCGAAATGTGAGCCATGCCTGGCTCTCCCATCAAAGATGAGCCCCCGAAAACCCAACGAACGGGCTATCGAAATAGCTTTGCCTGACAACTAAACTGAGTTAAATCCTGGAAAGTGCTTTCCGAATCAGGTATTTTTCTAGTGAGTTAAGTTCTCAGGAAGAATGCCCGACTATGGGCCTTTTAGTACCAATTCTATGAACTTACATACTTATGCCTACTACACTACTAAGAACCATCAAATCCCCTCATATGACCAACAGGTGCTGGGGATTTTACATGGCGTTCTAAAAAAGGCAAAATTCCATTTGCAAGAGGGCTGTCCAGTCCTCCCACCCTGGAAGGGACAGCTACTTCCCTGCCCTCGGGGCTCAGGGTACAGGGGCCGCGTGACAGGCCTTCTGAGCCACGCACAGCACGTGGTGGACATTCGAATCACGGCTGGGCTTGCCATCAAGGAGACAACACACACGCAGCCCCAGCACGCGGTGCAGAGTGGCAGGGGAGCAGAGAGCAACGGCGCGGCCGACTGGAGGGAAAGGTGACGGAGCGCAGCTGCAGGACCACCCGCTCTGCTTTCTAACATGACACAAGCCACGACAAAAGGGTTAGCGGGCCCCCAGGGGCCATGGAAGATCTCGGTGGCCGGGAGATGGGACACTCTTCCCTTGGCTGAGGACACATGAGTGGGGGGCCTGAGCCTCTCGAAGACGTTCCAGGCTGGACACCCAGGCGCCACATCTGGCCAGGATGCATCCTGAGCCAGAAGCAGCTGGCGCACACAGGGAAGCCCTCCCCGGCCGAGCCCACCCTCTGGGCACCGACCGAAGCACGACAGGAAGGCCATGCCAAACGACAACGGTCGACAGTGCTCCCCACTTTCCCTCAGAGCCAGGTCTCCCTCTCTCCTCAGAATGGTCCTGCAGCCCCTGCCCTGAGTAAGTCACTCAAAGGACCCCTGGTAGGGACCAATGGGCCCCAGAGAAAACCTGGCTCGTGCCGGCCTCGGGATGTCTCATGACTATGTTCGTGGCCTTCCCTGCCCCAACCCCATCACTGAGTCCTCTGCAGGACCCTGACACAGTGGCCTCTGGCCCCACTTGCCACCTCTCTCCTGACCTGGCTGCCCCTCCATCGGGCAGGGAAAATGATGCCAGACTCATTCCCACCAGTCTTCCCGCTGAGCTCCCCGGAAGTGAGTGTCACACAGAACCTGAACGGCAGAGGCCCTACAACCCCATAAACCAACCGGGGACCCCGATGGCGCACTCCTTAAAGAATACACGGCGGCAAACGGACAGACACTTTATCTGAGGCAAAAGGTACAGCAGGCTCCCCGTGGCACGCCCCGGGAAGACATCATCCACCTTCTTCCAGCCGCTGCCAAGGGCACTACCCAACCGGTGCGGTCTACAGCATTTTGGGGAGAGACAGCCTGAAGCCCAAAGAGCTGGCACAGACGCCCCTGGACTCTCCCCAGCCACATCAAGCAGGACCATCTCCTGACACAGCATCCTGGTGCCAAGGCCCAAAGAGATGCCACGGCAGCTGAGCGCAGGGTCAGCGAAGAGGGAGCCCACCCAGCTGGAAGGCCTGCCTGTCTGTACTGCGCCCTGAGCAGCAGGTCCCCACATCAGGCTCCAGCTAGTTCTCGCGAGGATCAAGCCAGCACACAGAAGAAAAGCAGCCCGAGATCTAAAACCTCACGAGAGGCGAGGCTGGGCGAGTGCTCCTCGCGGGGCAGGGAAGGGATCCCGCCGCACCTGCAGTACGGCGCTACGCGTGTTAGTGGTTCCTGTTTCTGAGGGTGAAAGCAGAGATGCCCGGCACTGCCTGAGAAGAAAGCTAAAGAAATTAGATATGGCACTTTTCAATAAACATGTTAAAGCTTCTTAAAGAAATAAGTGAAAAAGAAAAGCAACTGCTGTAAGGCCTGTTTTGCTGTTAAAAATTATGCCAAGGGAAGAAAAATACCACAGCACAAAATAGTTTTTTTTTTTAAGTAAACAACAACATAGCTTACCAAAAACAAAACAAAACCACCTGTCCTTGTAACCACCTTGGCCAGCTCACATTTCGACCCATGAAGCACTCCCCTCCCACACCACCTGCGCCCAGCCAGGCAGGGAAAGGGGACACAGGCCACAGCAGGCCGGGACACGCAGGCAGCATGCTGACAGCTCTCCAGAAGCGCCGAGCCCGCACCCGCCACCAAGTCACAGCGTGGACTCAGCGACACTAAGGACCTCCGGCGACCACTGCTGCTCACGTCCTCGAGAAACTAAAGCTCAAGGAAGATGACCTCGTGCAGGTCTCTAACGGCCACAGTTTTACCCAGTTCCAGTGAGGTTACCTGTCATTCCAGTGGAGGGAAACATCTGAACCTCCACATGACCCAAGAGGAGGTGCCCCTCCCCTCCTCACCCGAGTCAGCCTCTCCCCATCGCCCACCAACTCCCCTCAAGATGAAGAGACCCAGTTTTAAAAGAAAGTGGTCTAAAGAAACCAGAAGGAAAAGCCTTAACAAACAGGCGTGACAAATGCCCAGACCCGGCCCAGACCCGGCCCAGACCCGGCCCAGACCCGGCCCAGACCCGGCCCAGATCCAGCCCAGATCCAGCCCAGACAGCAACCGGCTGCAGCCGATGCCCGCTATTTACAAGGGGCGTTATCAAACAGAAATGGTAGCGCTACCCAGAAGACAAACCTTTTCTCCTCTATTTCTTTTAAACTTTCTTGTCATAAAAGCCAACTTACATTAAAATAGACTTATTACAAGACAACACAACTAATAAAATATATAATAAAACTTACACAAGTAGAAAATTCTGAGGTATTTCTGGTTTGAGGTGGTCTGTGGTCGTGAAGTTTTCTTTTTTTTTTTCAAAATTTAAACTTCGGAAGCCACATAGCAAAGCATGTGTGTAAATGTGTGTGTTTTGTTTTGTGTGTGTTTTTTTAAATTTTGCATGTTTCATAAATTAAAAAAAAAAAGTCAAATGTTGAAACAGCAGCATTAGGAACATTCACTGACTAGAGCGAGGTTATGGCAAATAGAGAAAGGGTTTAGAATATGCACCTCTGAGGGGTCTGGAGAAAGCCAAATCCATGGGCCACATAAAGGAGACAGTGACATCACCATGCAGGGTAGGGCCGGCGCAGCAGGACTCTCGGGTCTCCAGAGAGGCAGGCCTCAGGAGGCCCCCCTGGAATTCCTCTGCCCTGGCGGTGCAGGGCGCCCCCTGTGGGCATTTCCCTGAACTGCTCCAGGAGGAAGCAGTGTTTTTCAACTTTTCCTCCTTTCAAGATATTTACAGCATCATGTCTTATGAAGAATGTACTCACTAACCCGTGATTTCTACCCTTACGTAAGCCTAAAACAGGGCAGAAGAAAATGTTTTGTCCTGTGCCCAAGCCCAAGTTAGAAAAAACTGGCCAGGGCCAGCAGACAGGCCAGAGCCACACCCGCTCTTGACTTTCTCCAAACCCCGCTCTTGCCGCTGGCGCTTGGCCTCCACACGGTCCTTCCCTCCGCTCCTGGATACCTGAGAAGTAGCCGCACAGCAAGGGATGTTGCTCCGAATGTGCCCGAGTCCAGTGTAGCTCTGTTCCAGACCGCACCCCCCACAGCTCCGTCCTCCCCTCCAACTCCAGTCCCAACCATCCTCATCCTCATCCCAGTTCCGCCTCGGTCAGGACGACACCCGTTAATCCGCGAAAGACACATCTGCTGTTTCTTAAACTGTCTAAAAGGGGAGAAAAACACAATACAAGGGAGGGAGGGAAGAGGAGGAGGGCGGAGGGAAACTCCTCTGGAGGAAGGTGTGTTCTGTAACAGTCTTCAAAGGTTCCTCTAGGAAGAGTTTGCAGCATTAAGTTTCCTAAGACAGGAGATGGGTTTCTCTGCGTCACAGATTGAGACGACGAACAAAGAGAAAGCGGGAGAAACGAACCCCAAGGGCAGGCGGCGGCTGCGGCTCCTCAGCTCGGCGCTGGCCCTGCGTCCGCAGCTCAGCACCTCTGCGCCTGCTGACGCGCCCGCTGCTTGCGATACAGTAGAGCGATGTGCTGGTAAAACTGATCCGATCCAAAAATAATATTAATAATAATAATTATAATAATTATAATAATAATAAAAAGTCAAGGTAAAATAGCAGCTGCATTTATGTGTTTGTTGGTGTTATGGGACTTCCAAAACAAAACACAATGTTTGTTTTTTTCCTTTCCTCTTCAGATCCACTGCGTCTGGAGAGCCCTCGTGTCCTGGGCTTAGATGCTTGACTCTTTAGGGGGCAGGTCCACATTGGTGACGGAGGTCACCAGGGAGACCAGACAGTCCGAGGTGATGCCGTTGACCGACCTCCGGATCAGGGACACCCGCTCCTCCACGCAGCCCGCAGACAGGCGAGCCTCTGCGTCGTGGTCCCAGCACTCCTCGATGGTCACGCAGAGCTGGGCCAGGCCCTGCACCACGTCAGGGATAGGAAAACAGCCGTGTTAGTGCCCCTCGGCGAGGACCAGCCTGGGACAGCCAGCTTGATGGTGTTCCCCAGGACCAGCCAGAGCCTGCAGGTGCGCCCCAGCTCCAGCAGTACCCACCAGCAGGGGCCTGGGGACACTGCAGGCATCAGGACGCCGCCCCTCCTGGCAGTCACCGTCCTGAGCCCACTGGCCTCCTGCCACAGCCCCAACGGAAGGTCCACTGAACCTCAATGTAGGAAGAGGGGGAACTAGGACCCTCCTGGGCAGATCCAGTGATATTCAAACAAAATCGACGCAAAGCCAAAGTCATGCAAGGACCCAAAATGCAATGGTCAGAGAGGAGACCGGGAGACAGCACTGTCCCACCCCGAGCCCTCAGTCCCTGGAGCTACTCCCTCGAGTTCAGTGGTACGGCAACCTGTGCTGGAACCAACGGTGTGGAGCTGGGAAAGGCAGAGGATGGACAACGCCCGCATCCAGGAGCTCTCTGGCCTGCTCAGCCACACCGAGACCTCCCTGGCCCTTGGACTCCACAGGGAACTAGACTGGCTACCCCAGCACCTCTGCCTTGGGAGAATGAGGCAGAAGGTAGATTCTGGCCCAGCCTCCACCTGCTCCACTTACAGCCCTGGGTTCTAGGGAGCAACGCGGCAGCTAAACTTGGCCTCAACAGCTTGACCCATGACGGTCCTATGGTAGGTAGAGCGCTAGCCCTCTGTGGTCACCAGGCTGTCCGTCTTCTGAATTAACCCTGGGGTGGGCAGGGGGATGGGGATCAACGGAGCTGAAGGCAAATATCCTTCCAAGACAGGAAATGGTTTACACGGCTGGGGTCTTTAGTACAATATCCACATTAAACATTTACATGACAGGTGTCCTGCCAAGAGATTTATAAGGATAACTCATTGAATCTATTACTATCCTGAGGACACAGAGGCTCAGAGAAATAAAGCAACTCGCCTAAAGTCACCGAGCTACAGATTGGCAGACCCAGGACTCAAGGTGAGTTAGGCTCAGGGCCAGCAGGCTCCACTGTGCAGCTGACCCACATGGGAGCAACCGGGGCCCTGACTGAGCACACCCAGAGCCGCCTCCCTGCAGGGCACTGAACCTCCCTGATCTCCCCTGGTGGGAGGGAGAAAACGCACGAAGTGGCCTCTGGCCTGGTGAGGAAGAGGGGGCTGTCTTGCTGCCTGTGGCATCCTCTGCCCCACACCTCACTGATCTCAGCTTCCTGCCACACATGCGGGGGCTCCCCTCCCTGCTCCCCTGCAGTCACCCGCCACCCGGGCCCCTCACCGGATGCTTCAGCCAGTGATCCTTAATGGCAGGCCGCATCTTCTTGTGCACAACCACCTCCTGCAGCTCCTCCAGTGAGGGGTGCTGGCCGATCTCCTCCTCAAAGGGCAGCATGTACTCGTCCACCGGTCCTGGGGGTGAAAACGAGCCCGGCGGTCACCCCAGGCCCCCCTGCTCGCCACCCACCTGCAGGACGCTGGGGCCTGGCGCACTCACCATCGGCAGCTTTGCAGCGGGACACGAGCTCCCACAGCACCAGCCCCATGGCGTACATGTCGATGCGCAGGAAGGCGTCCCTCTGGAAGTTGATGGCCCCCTCAAGCACCTCAGGGGCCATGTATCGCCGTGTGCCCACCTACACAAGGACGGAGGGTCTAGAGTCACCCACCACGCACGGTGCTCTCACAGCTAAATAGGGAGCTACACTCCTTGTGCACCAGCTGGGCCAGGACGGCAGAATTCAGGACACCGACGAGGACAGCAAGGCTTGAGGCCCCACATTCACAGGAGGGTCACAAGAGGTCATGGCGTCAACTGTACCTCAATGACCACTTAAAATGTCACATACTTGAGACAGCAGTAAGCTAGCCTGGAATGGCTGCCTCTACCCCATCAACACAAGAGCCAAACAGATGTGTGTTTTACTGAGACTAAACCAAAAACAAAAGGGGAGACAATACTTCAAAATATGAACAGGGACTGTTTTAGGATGACTTGTTCAGGCTTTATTTTTATTTACTTTTTCTACGTTTGAGGTTTGGATTCTTAGTATACTTCTCCCTGCTTTATCTTGCTCAATAATTATAATTGAAAAGAAAAAGAGAGAGAGACTGAGGGAACAAGGATGAGCAGCCAACACCCAACCGAGACGCCTGCTCCTCAGCGGGCCGGCCCGCTCACTCCGCTGCCCTCCGGGCCTTGCTGTCCCGCTGGTGGGTGAGCGAGAACACTGTCCTCGGGCAGCTGAGCTCAGCAGCGACCCTTGCCCCTGCACCTTGCCAGCAGAGCATCATAAGGGCAATGCCACCCCTGTGCCAACCCCTTCTTGCACCCCAAGTCTCGTTACCTGCCCATGGGTGTCCCCTGGAGGTTTCCCGGGCTCAAACCGAACAGCCAGGCCAAAGTCAGCCAGCACGGCCGTGAGGTCACTCTTCAGCAGCACATTCTTGCTTTTAAAGTCCCTGTGGAGACAGGGGGACTGAGATGAAGGTGAACATCACAGTCCAGCCTGCTGGAGCCTCTGCCCGAGAGCCGCCAGACCCCAGCGCAGGCCTCCCACCCTCTCTGGGAGCAGGGTCTGCACCAGGGTGGAGTTCCATGAGGCGGCAGGTAGGCAGTTTTAGGATGCCTCCCCCCCAATGCTGGCCTAAGAACCCCTAATTGCACTTCCCTCGGAGCTGGTAGAATACCACCTCCCCGCCCTGGCCGGCTTTCCTCAGTGGTTAGAGCGTCGGCCCATGGACCCGAGAGTCCCAGGTCCGGTTCCCGCTAAGGGCACGTACCTCGGCTGCAGTCTGTCCCTAGCCCCGGTTGGGGTCGTATGGGTGGCAACCACTCGATGTGTCTCTCTCACAAAGATGTTTCTTTCTCTCTCTTCCTCCCTCCCATTCTATCTGAAGATAAATGCAAAAACGTCCTTGGATGAGGATAAAAAAGAAAGAACACCACCTCCCCAACTGGCCGGGCAAACGCCATCTCAGTCCCCACAGTACCCAAGGCCAGCCCGACGTTTGCAGAGGGGTGGGGATAGGCACACCGGCCAGGGGTGCAGGTGTTCTGAGGATTTACAGTACTTAGGATGAGCGAGCAGAGCTGGACTTGCCTGGGTTCCTGTGCGGGCCCAAGGGGCTCGAGCCACCACAAAGGCGGGCGCGGAGCAGGGTGACAGAGAAGGTGCTGGTGTGTGCCCAGCTCCACCCTCCCCAGCAGGTACTCCTGGTCCTCAGCCTCCTCAGTGCCCACCTCGGCTTTGTTGTGAGGACTGAACTCGGGGCCACCCCTAGCACACTAACTGTGCACTACTGTCAGGCTGACCCGCAGGGAAGAGTCACATTCGACTCTTTTTTACCTACAAAAATGGCAATTTCCTACAGTCACCTTGTGTGACATTCCTGGCCGTGCCATCAGGGGCCCTTCAGCTTTGAGCCCTGGAATTGGAGGCTTGTTCCCCTCCCTCGCAGCCACAGCAGCACAGAAGCCCAGTGCGGCTGCAGTCCTCTGTCTCTGTGCCACTGGTCCTTCACCTGCAGGACGAGGCTGAGAAAAACTATCGCACGGGGCGCACCGAGGCTGGCATGAGCTGGCAGTCCACAGGGCCTGCCGCGGGGCCTGCCGTGGGGCAGCACCAGGATGAGGAGTTAACACGGCGGCGGTCAAAGTACAGTCCCGGGGCCCCAGAGGGTCAAAATTATGTTCGTCCATCATTTGCTCTTTTTAAGCTTATTGTCTCAGGAGTACAGCTTTCCAGAGGCTACGTACACATGATGTCATCACTCCAACAGTTCACGCCAGGTGTGCTTTAATACAGCAAATATCAACAGGTGTGAGCCACAGCCACAAAAGTTCTTTTTAACAGTGGAAAGGGATTTGAACCAAAAAGTTTGAGACTGCTGAGCCAACTTGCCCAAGTAATGGAGTCGACATTTCCTCACGTGGCCACTGGAGGGCAACAAAAAACCAGCTTGCAAGGCCAGGCCAGGCCAGGCCCAGAGCAGGGGTAGCAAGCCGGCAGCAGACCGTGGGCCCAGGTTTTGCACCCAGGCACTTCTGACACACCACAGGGTAGCTAGGTATGTTCATGAAATTGAGACTCCCCCACCCCAGGCCCTGTTCTCGCCCTCCAACCTTCTCTGCAGCTCCAGGCCAAGCACAGGGAGGTCACCTGCTAACCCAGGTACCTGTGGGCGATAGACGGCTTGTGGCCCTCACCACGGCACCAGGGCACGTCTTCATGCAGGTACGAGAGACCTCTTGACATTGTCTCTGCCACGTGACACAGTTCATTCCACGTGATGATGTTCCCCTTGAGGTAATCCGTGAGGGAGCCCTAGAAGAACAGCACAGAGTTGGCACGGGTTCTGGGCACAGGACAGGACCAGCCCAGCCCCGGGAGGCGATCTCAGGGAATCGATTGCTGGGCTCCTCTTCCGGGAAACTGGGAATTGATACAGAAGATACATGAGGCCAGTAGAGAGAGGTCAGAGTCGCGGGGACTGAGATGTTAATTACAAAGTCACTGCTCTTATTCATAAGAATTTATCCCCGAGTTACAGGTTCTCACTGTGGATACTCAGGTCCACAGAGCACCTCACAGTGGAAGGCCAGCAGGGGCCGTGGTGGACGTCACCCCACCCTGGGCGCCCACTCCCACGGGGCGTGGCTCACCTTGTCGTGGAAGGCCGTGATGAGCCACAGCTCCACCTCCAGGTTGGAGCCGCGCTTTTCGGCAGCGATGAACTGCAGCAGGTTCTCGTGCTTCATGCCGGGCGTGCTGAAGATCTCCCGCTCACTCTGCCATGACTGCTTGTCCTGGGGCAGGGATGCGGCTGAGCCCCACGGCAGCCCCCCTCCGCAGCAGAGCCACCACCCTCGCCCCAGTCCCCACGCCCCAGCCTCAGCCCCTGCAAGGCAGGCAGGCAGGCAGCAGCCCTGGATTGAACGGGGCCCTGGAGCAGAGGCCAAGAGCGATCCCTGAGATCACTAACAGTCAGCACCTGATTTACAAACGGGCCGCCGAGGGCCAGAGAGGGGAGCAAGTGGCCCAGTGTCACCCAGCAAATGAGAGACACAGCTGGGCCTGGCTTTGCTAAGGGTCTCGGGCAACCGCTTGGGGCAGCCTGCTGTCCAGACTCTCTAAGTGGAACCTGGTGTCAAAAACAAAACGCGCTGGGGGCATGTGCCTCGGTTGCGGTTTGTCCCCAGCCCTGGCTGGTTTGGCTCAGCGGTTAGAGCACCGGCCTACAGTCTGGAGAGACCCGGGTTCGGTTCCCGCTAGGGGCATGTGCCTCGGTTGCGGTTTGTCCCCGGCCCTGGTTGGGTTGTGTGGGTAGCAACCACTCGATGTGTCCCTTTCACATCGATGTTTCTCTCTCTCTCTCTCTCTCTCTCTCTCTCTCTCTCCCCCCTCCCACTCTATCTGAACGAAAAATGAAAAAAGTCCTCGGGTAAGAATAAAAAAAACAAAACCCTGAAAACCAGAGGGGACCAAGGTTTTGCAAATCAAGGATTTGCAAAGCCCAACATAGCTGCACAATAAATTTCACCACCCAAGGGGGATAATTCTCCCTCATCCCACCTACCAGGAGCCAAGACTGCCTGGGGCGGAGAGCTCAGGCCACAGCACAGGTGGCGGGCCTGGCGCCCGCACTCGCTCACCTGGAGCGGGAAGATCTTGACAGCCACAAAGTCATTCATGAGCTGTGCCTTCCAGACGCAGCCGAAGCGCCCCCGAGCCTTGATCTCCAGCAGCTGCAGTGGCTTCAGGCCCACCAGAGGGGATGGGGGTGGAGGTCCAGGGTCCTGGGGGAGATCAGGGCTAAAGAGTCTGTCCTGGCCTCGCCACCTCTACCCCTGCCCTGCCCTGCGCCAGCCGTCTCACCTCGTGGATGTCCACGTGGCCGTAGGGGGCTTTGCGATGCCGGTACATCCAGAAGGCCAGCAGGACGATGAGGGAGAGGCCCCCGAGAGGCAGCAGCGAGTAGGCCAGCACCGTGAGCAGGGTGGGGGCTGTCGGGGGTGGCTCGTACGTGACTGGGGGACACACGGAGCCCTGTGTCACACAGCCCGCCCACCCTGCTCCTCCTCCAGGGCCAGAGAGCCCCGCAGCCGCCCTCCACCCAGCTCGGGAGCCGAGCGCTCCCCCAGGCCCCGGAGGGCCCACGCCTGCTGCCCCCACAGCCCTCACCTTCCGGGCCCCCGGCCTCCGGCAAGTGGGTGAAGCGCTCGTTGCAGAAGTTGCCTTCACAGCAGCAGAAGTACACCTGGGGGTTCTCCTCGGTGGCCACACACTCCTGCCTGGGGGCACAGTTTCCCACAGGCCCCTCAGCTGAGGCAGGCAAGACTCTCCAGGGCCGGCCCTGCCCAACCCCCCCCCCACAGACAGAGAAGCTCATGGGGAGCCACCAGGGGTCAACGTAAACCCACCGCCCTGGAAGTGGGCTCGGAGGTGAGGAGGGCCAGCCAGCCAGGGCGGACAGGCACTGAGAGTCTCTTGGGTCTGGGGCTGGTGAACACAGTTCCAGAAGGGCTGGGACCCTGCGGCACCCCTACTTGTCCGAGCTCTCTGGAGAGCCCTTGTCTGCCCCTCGCCGTGATGCCTGGGCAGGGTTCACAGACTCCGAGACCCGCGTTGCCAGCGGGCAGCATCGGCAGGCGGGCTCCGTGGAACTGAGGGGAGGGCGGCCGGGGGTACCTGTCGTAGCAGTTGAAGTCGTCCAGCCAGCAGCCCTTCTTGACCAGCTCGACGGTGCCCGAGCTGTTGCGCCAGGAGGCGTAGCAGTGCAGCCGCTTGTCCTGCTCGCCCTCGCAGCGCTCCAGGCCGCTCTGGTTGGTGCGCTCCAGCTCCCAGTTGGCGTTGTAGTAGACGCACTCCCGCGTCTCGGCCTCCCCGCGCCCGGAGCCTGTCCCGCCGGGTGAGAGACCTGCTGAGCACCCGCCCTGCTCCCTGGGTGCTGGGGGCAGGCCCCACGCCACCCACCATCGATCCCTCAGCTTAGGTGCCAGCCAGTGCCAGCCCCCACCTCATTCCCCGGCCCCCACACACCTAACAGTGCAGGCTGGAGACAAATATCCAGACTGATGGCCGGGTGCAAAAAAGGGACCCCACCAACACCTGAGGCTCTAGGGTCGCGGCTTCCCTGCTGCAGCAGTTAATACAGGGACCTCAAAACCTCAGTGTGCAGCAGAAGCACTGTGTGTGTGTGTGTGTGTGTGTGTGTGTTATCCAATAGGAATGGGGCAGAATCTACGTTTCTGATCACCCCGTCTGTCTCAGGTGATTCTGATGTAGATCTCAGGGGCCCCAGCTACGGCTGTCTCTGCCTCAACCCACGCTCGCCACCATCCCCCAGGGAGACATTGCTGGTGTACCCCCTCACCCCCAACCAGACTGGACGGGAAGCAAGGACCCCCCAGTGTCCTTCCGACACCCAGCACCGCCCCTGGTGCTCAGGAGGCTGGAGAAGGTCGTCAAGTGTCCAGCCCTCGTGCTCAGGGCCAAGCTCCCAGTCACCACGGGGAGAACGGCCCCAAGCAGAAGGCCCGGCTGGTGGCTGTGCCGTGACAACAGATGGTCCTCCCAGCTGGGCCTGGTCCCTAAAGACCCCTGTGGGTGCGCCCCGTCTCCTGCGACCGCTTCTGCCCCCTGCACGAGGCCATCCCGGTGGCCGAAACTTTGATCCTCAACTGCCCCTTCAAACGTGGCCTCGAGTTCACCAAACCCATCTTTCTCACTGCCCCCTCCAAAACGACCCCAGCCCAGCCCCCAACCCCACGGCCCTGTGACAGGAAGGAGGAAGGCGAGGCCACAGGAAGCTCCCTGGGAACGGGTTCTGACCCCTGACCGGACACCTAGGCTGAAAAGCTCCCGGGCCTCTGGGAGGGAGTGCTCCACTATCACCCCTTTATGGGGTGCCCCTGGCCAAGGGTGACAATGCCAACCCCCCACACACACCCCAAGAGGAAACAGGCACCAAGCTCCCTCCTAGCCTCGCCACACTTCTTAGGCCTACTGTGAGCTGGTGACTGACGCCACCCCTGGCTGGACTCCCCTACAACCATCCCCGCCCCAGAAGAAGGAAGGAGCGGCCGGAGGCACCCCGCGGAAGGACAGCTAGACAGCCACCGGCAGCCAGGAGTCCTGCTTCAGCTGAAAGGCTGGCTAGAGCAGCCAGGACAGAAAGACCCCACCCCGACCCAGGCGGGAGGCAAATGCTCTGAATCCCAGCATGGTCCACGGTCCCATCACCGCCCCCCATCAGAAGCCATCCTGAACAAAGAGCGTGATGTCCCATGGCACGCCCAGGTGGGAGGGGCCCTCCACAGCAGGGTGGCCACCCTCCGGTCAGACCCACCCCTCCTATGTCTCTGCAGCGACAGGAGGCTTCTAGAAGGGCCTGGCCGGAGGAAAGCTGCAAATCTCACCGCCCCGGGCAGGACTCCAAGGATTCAGATGTCACCCAACTAGAAAGCCAGTGTCTAGCTATGGCTCTGGCCATTCAGGACCATGGGGCCTAGACTCAGACACGAGGAAGAAAAAGAGTGGGTTCCCAACCCCCCAGGCAGCTAGGACCCAACCTGGTCCACAAGGTCCATAAAGGGGCTCAGGCAGGGTGCACACTGGCTTCCTGTAGCCAGGCCCTGCAGCCAGGGAGCAGAGTGGACGACGGAAACCACAGGCCCAGCAAGCACACCAGGGCAGGACTCAGGCTGGCTCCCTGATGCACACAGGCCCCTTACCCACCTGCAGCAGCATCTGGGGGCTGGGCCATGCAAAGCACCAGTCCAGAGGGCACAGGCCTCCTCTCCCAGTCTGGGGCCCCCTGCATTCACAGCAGCAACTCCACAGGGGTCCCCGAGACTGTGACTGGGGTGAAGGAGAGCTGGGCACTGCCACCTGCCTTCCCTCACTGCAGTCACACCACATTGCCAGGCCTTGAACATGCTGGGCTCCTGGGCCTAGTTAGCACAAGCAGCTACCTCTGGATGCAAGATGCTCCCCCTTTCTCCTTTAAATGTCAGCTCCTTCCTCTCCCTGGAGACCAGGTCAACTCTACTTCCACATGCCGTTGTCTTTCCTCCAAAATCTAGCTTATCACCCTTGACTAATTTCCTGTTGTTTCAAGGAACATTTCAGACTTTCAAAAAGTGTAAAAATGATGCAACCAAAGATAATCCCCAAGAGAAAATAACATAATGAAGGCTCATATAAGAAATAAAATTTCCCGGCCAGTGTGGCTCAGTGGTGTGCGTCAACCCATGTACCAAGAGGTCGCTGGTTCGATTCCCGGTCAGGGCACGTGCCGAAGTTGTGGGCCCAATCCCCAGTGGGGGACATGCAGGAGGCGGCCAACTGATGTTTCTATCTCTCTCCCTCTCCCTTCCACTCTCTGTAAAAATTAATAAAGAATAAAATTTTTAAAAAAGAAATAAAATATTACCAATGTGCTCGGCAACTGCCTTTTAAAGGCCAGGCTCCCCTCAAGGCTGCAAAGCTAACGAAGGCAGAAGTCTCGACTGCGTCAAGTGCGAGGACCAGTCCTGGACCCATGGCTAACAGACGGAGAGAAGGACCAAGGAGTGGAGAGGACAGGTATCTCCTGGCGAGGGCAGGACGCCAAAGCGGGGGGACAACAACAGGAGGTGTGGCCTCGGCCTGCAGCCCTAGCTCTCCGGTCATCTGGGAGTTTCCACCTCCACTCAAACAACACGCAACAAGCCCCCGTGCAAAGCTAGCAGCCAGAACCAGGGAAGTCCACAGGCTTGGAGAGTGGCCCAGCTCCTCTCCAGGCCACCGATCAGGCAGGGACCGCTCAGGCCACGACCATGGGCAGGACTCATGGGCACAGGCTGGAAACTCCAAATAATTTGCAAGGCTCCAGGGGCAGGACGCGAGGATCCTGAATGTCACCAGATCCTCCTCTGACCAGATCCTCCTACATGTGACCAAGAAACACAGCCATGAGCCATCAGACTTCGGTCAAATCCTGGCTCTGACAATTCCTAGCTGTGTGACCCTGGGCAAATTACCAAGCCAACCCACGCCTCTGTTTCCCGCTTGTGGAAGGGGTAATAACAGCACACACTCCTAGGGCTGTTCCGGGGAGTTAACACACTTTCAGAATGGTTAGAACAATGCCTGGCACCTTGGCTGTCACATTAGCGCCACAGCCCTCCCCTGCTGCCTAGGACAGTTCCAAACGCAGCCCCCTGGAGAGCTCCCAGCCCACCAGTGAGTGTGTGCACACCCAGTATGCAAGAGCGTTGCGTTCAGAGCCCAAGGGGGACCTGAGGAGAGGGCAGGCTCCAGGCTCCTCCCACACCACACCGGCTCTATTGCCAGCTGGAGACCCAGGGGCCTCCCCCTTCTTTCCTTCTCCCTGGCAAACTCTGCTTCTGCACACACTCAGCTATTTATAGCCTCTGGCAACACTCCAGCCACAAGGCCGCCTCTGCCTTTTAATAGACACAGGGCTCCTGCCCACACTCACGAGCCAGGGCACCCATGCACCGGAGGCTCCCCCTGACCTCCAGCTCACTCGCCCATCCTGCAGGAGAGGGAGCTGTGCCTGTGTACCCCTCATAGCCCTGATGGGAGCATGCTCCCCAGTCACCTGGGCAAGGGGCTCACTGTATCCCTGAAGTACAGTCAACCCAACCGCTTGCCAAAGGGACCCGACAGACAAGTGGCAGTGTCCCCAAAGGCAGTCCGTATGTGCCCAGAGACCTACACCTTGGTGAAAAGCCGCCCCACTCTCTCCAAGCCCTCAGTCCAGGCAGAGCAGAGCAAAGCCACTCCTCCAAACACCACCTCCAAAGAGCAAAACAACCAGAACGCATGCAGATCCATCTGAACAGACCTTCTGGGAGCTGGACCTTCATGGACCAGTACTGACGCACGAGGAAAAGCGCTGGGAGTCTGTTTCCCCAGTTCAGTTGGCCCTGGGCACACCCCACCGTGCACAGGGGAGAAAAGGAAGGAATGCTACCAGGGTCCTTCCTGTCTGTGAGGGACTCAAAGTGCAACGGGGACCGGGAAGACTGACGGACAGATGGAGAAGTGAGGGGCAATCAGGGCAGAGCCTTGGTGAGAGGACTTGAAGCTGGAGTGGCCATGTGCCCCTGGGGTCCCCTGGGCTCCGGATTTGGGGTGTGTCAGCCCAGCCAACACCTCCCAAAGGAACTGCAGACCCCAGCAGCCCATGGGCCGCTGTACTCCACCCTTGGCTCCTGGAGGCCCCCACAGGGAGCTGGTGCCCCGCCCCATCCACGCAGGCACTGTGGTGTGGTGAGAAAGGGATGGACCCAGCACCGCACCCAGCCCAGGCCCCTTCCACCAGCGCGCAGAGGAGCACCCTCCCAGAAGCCGCCATGCCTGAGAGGTGGCCAAGCCGGACGACGCAGGCAGCCCCAAGTTCTCCTCATGTCCAGCCCCAGCTGTGCCGGAGAGGACAGGCAGCCAACCCCCCAGACAGCAGCCAGGCTGCCTTCCTGGACGCCTCCTGCCCTGTCGGAAGGCAGCCCTGCAGCGTGCTGAGCACCAGGTGTCCGTGTTCATGACTCGACTCCCCCAATCCGCACTGTGGCATGTTCACCATCTTCCCCACAATCAGAAGGATGGCCGGGGCGTTAGGACTAAGGGAACCCTCAGGCAGTGGGGGCTGGCAGCGAGGGGAAGGCTAAAGCGTGAGACACACACACACACACACACACACGTGTGCACGCACTGTAGAAAGGCACGTATGTGCAATGGGCAGAAAAGAATCCAAAAACGTACCTACAGTTTATCTTTACATTTCTTTACATAAGAGAATTAACTCTTGAGTATCTGTTTCTAGCAGCCAAACACAATCTCGGACACATTTTCTTTTTCCCTCCACACCCACAGATTTGATTCCCGGTC